ACCATTGCGGTTTCCGGAAGACGCTGGTCCAAGTCTTGGCACCTCCTGGCAGGTGCCTCCTGCCGGCCACGTGCCGTCTTGGCCTTGGGGTTAGCGTCAGAATAACGACTTCGGTTAAGAGTTTAGAGTCTTGGAGTTAGACGTCAGACCAGGAATCCTGCACTGGTATCGGTCCGTTGCATTCTTTATGCTGCATCCAAGAAGACCTTGGTGGAGTTGCTCAATCAGACCTCGCACACAGCTTCTGCAATAAATGCACAACGAACGCTCATCATGGCCTCCTATGTTCACTGAACTTGGCCTCTGTGTTTATGGGCATGCTGTGGGTGCTGGATAAACTGTAGCAGCTAGCATATGCAAGTCAAGGCTTGAGGTTAACGAAGCTGCGCTGATCTTTCTGCCCGAGCTTCCAGTGGAAGTATATCATAGTTCTAGCAGATCTGCATAATAGTTCGAGCAGATGAATGTTCCTGGGGATCATGCGAATATCTATCTGCAGCACAGCAGCCGATAGGGACCCCAAGCAGCGTTTTCCAACCTAGCCTCCTGCCAAGTTTCGACGGTGTCACATCCTACCAGCACGACTACATCAAGCATCCGAATCGCCCCAGGCGGTTTTGGGTGCATGCCAAAATCAGAATAGCGTTATGAAATTCCGTGCGGAAGGCCAGCTGGCCCCACATTCAACACTTGAGCCCAAAGCAGAGCCGTGGATAGGATTTCTGGGATTTCTGGCCGTGATGACCTGCGTTGTCCTCTAATGTCCTCTCTCCCCTGCAGTCAAGCAGAAGGATTAAGCTCACGATGCGCAAGGTCGTGAACCCCGGATCCAGCGGGGTCCGCAGGGTGCTTCAGTATCGGAAGTACGGGCCCAGAACCCTGAGCTTAATTCCCGGAAGACCTGCTGCAGATCGGCAACCGGACGGCCAAAGCCACAGCTGCCAGCCTCCGGGCCCTTCGACGTGCCTCGGCATTCTCTTTGGAAGTAGTCGTGCCACCCCAAGGTTCAGAGCCAGGCTTTCGGGTTTGGGATTCCGTACGTCGGGCTCAGCAGGGCGCACCTAGGTTCTGGAAATCCCGAGTTTCAGGACTGCAGGTGAGGGGCCTGCATCTCGCAACTACCCAAAGGTTGCACTCTGGAGACACACACACACACACACTTGTATTGCAAGTGTTTCTGCACACGCGAATGCATGCAAGCATTTGTTCCAGCATCCATCTATTATCTATTGGTCTTTTCATTCGTTCGTTATTTCGCTCATTCTTTCATTCGTTCGTTCTTTCATGTTTTTGTGCATTCATACCTTCATAAATGCAGACATACAGGCATGGATATACCCACAAGCACGAGTACATGTGATTCGGCTCAACCTGACACAAAGGCTTTGGTGATAAGTCAAGTGTCGATAATAAGAGTTGAGGGTTCGGAGTGTAGACCTGTGGCTGCAATCATGGCTCAGAGGATGTTGGGTGAAATGGCTAGTGACTGTGCGTGCAGGGGGCACGGTTCCGAGATAATGAGATGCAATAAAAGCTCAGGCACAGGTCGTCCGAGCTGTCATAGGACAATATGGTATGTGAAGCAAACCACTAAGTCTCACCGATCCGGACAGATGGGCGGCTTGCCATACTCACGTGCCTACATACACACCTACAAACGTATAGGATATTCATACATACACCTCGAGGTACCAGTGTAGGGACCCGGGGACCACGAGTGCTGACTGCACACAACGATTTGACATGCCAAGCCCTGTCTTGACACCAGACCGGACCGTTTGACATTCATGGAATCGCGGCACCCAATCGTCTGCTCGGAAGTCTTGAGAGCTGTGCAGCCCGGAACTCATGGGTACCATGGCGGGCTTATCTTGCGACACTCTGAAACCCCAGCTGACAGCATCCAGGGCAGCACCACCTACACCACCGACTATAAGCGCTTCCATGTGCCCCAAGCCAGGCATGCCGACCGCATTGCGACGGGAAAAGTTTAGTTAGTCTGCTGAGAGCAGCAGTGAGGGCCAGTTACTAGGAGAGGAGTTCGACTTGCGTGCCTTGTTTGTGATGGTCGCGATCGAGAGCTCAAGAGTTCCACGTCTAGGACTTGACGAAGCTACAGCTAAGGCTCCATCTCACTGCGGCGATGGTTGATAAGTAGAGTATGTCGACTGAAGTGCAGCTACTGCTTCAGAGTGTCCAGGAGCTCGCGAGTCAGAAGCTTGAGAAACACTGCAATTGGTGTAATTCATTGGAATCCTGTCACCCAAGAGCTGCCTTGATGCATACTCCAACTCTGCTGAAATCGTGTTCTTCTGCAGGCCCTTGAAGCCTCATGACGGCGTCTTGAAGACTGACAAGAATCCGTTCGAAGGCCTTCAGCCCCGAGTTTTGTGGCCGGATTGGGGTGGGAAGGGGGGGATATTCATTCTGGCTGCCAGCCTCGAAGACAGCGTGCATTTCAAAAGTCAGCAGACCTGCTTCACTCACGGCAGCCCTGGATGCTTTGGTATTTTGAGGAACTGAAAGGATTCCGAGATCCTGAACCCTGTTAGTTGGGACCTGGCTGCTATCCTTTTGCATCGTTCATGTCCCAACTCCGCTGCAGTAACCTCTTCGTTAGAATCAGGCTTGAGAAGCATACTTGGCAGTTTCGCCTTCCATATATCAGAAGGGCAAAGCTTCCCGCGCACTGCAGGTGCTTCAGAGTATCGCCGCGAGTACCTCAAGCATCCGCTTCAAGGCACGACCTGATTCTGCGTTTCTGTAGGGATCCTTTCTCCGCCCTCCAAAGTTTCGAGTGCTCTGACAAGCATTTCGGCGTGCTGTAAAAGCACGTGATGCTTGGCTCTGAAGCAGAAGCAGTCATGGCACACAGACACGAAACTGCACAGTGCTGGAAGCTTGCGCGCAGGCCCTGAAATCCTTCATATTGAGCCCGACCTCCGGAGGCCGGGAAAGCTTTGCATGCGTCAAGTCGCACCGATTTTACTCTTGCCTGACCTTGTGAGATTGTTTTGTAGTAGAAACCATATGTACCCGAAGCCCCGTGTTATTTAGACACATACGCCCCTAACCTGGTGTCAGGGACACGGAAACGCGAGGCTTCGGTGAGATCCGTTCCCTTGAGCGAAAGCAATCCCGACTGCGGATCTGGAAGACTTGTGCTGTGAGTAGAAGCTGCTTTGTCCTGTGCGAAGCCCCGACTTGCACACCCGTCCGTTCGTCAACAGTGTAGTTAGACTCGCCAACCGTGTGGGCTCGGCAGGGGAGATGTGTGGCCGAAGCGGCCAGCGACGGAGGTTATCCGCACTGGGGCTGGTAGTGTTTAGGGACAGCTGAGGTTTTGGTTTCAAGCTTGAGGTGACAGGTTAACAAGTTAGAAGTTTTGGCAAAGGATTTCTTTTGCAATGCTGTTAGGATCGAGACTTGTTGTGTAGGCGGTCAACTTGATGTTGTGTAAGTCTTGGAGCATGTCAGCATTTTGGATCTGGGCTGTGGGGAGGAATCAGTATTTTGGTATACGGGGGCCAGCCCTGCCACCGCCAAACTGCCAGGTCACCATGGATCCTTACTGTGGCCCGAATAACTGTATGCTCATGACGGCACAGAAGCACACCACGGTACTTTCGTTTCGACGTTGAGCTTGTCGGCACGCTAGACGATTCGAGCACAGGATCCATATGACATGAGCCACCAAGCCTTAAATGACCCGAGCAACTGGAGCGCATTGCGTTGGGCAGGCCGGCAGCAGAAGGCACTAGCCTCGGTCCCGCAAGAAGTGCGCAACATGCTGCACCTTGCACGGCACAGGGCTCTAGTCTTTATTTCTGCGGTGTATGCATGACGCCAGCGAGATTTCTTACGGTCGTTTTGCTCCAGTTAAAGCCCTAGACTTTGGCGCAAGAGTCGGACCCGACTGGATTAGCGCGCTGGCTTTCTGCAAACCGTGGAAGTCCGAGAGTTGGGATCAACTTCCGTGATGTGGCGTGACGTCCTGGAGGAAAGCCGAAGGCTGTGATCTCCAAAGTGCTGCAGTTTCACTAGTTGAGGCCTGTCCCTAGAACTTGTGGTTTTGCCATTCGCGCAGCACAGGCCTCAGCTCACTGAGGAATGTGGCTGGGTTGAGATTAGGCACGAGCAGCCGCAACCGAGTAGAATTTTTACATTCCTGAATTGTCAGCTCAGCCATGACGTGCCGGCATCCAGCGACTGAGGATGATGCCACAGGTAGAAAATCAGAGTGTGTAGCATTTGGGATAACGGGCTTATTTCGGGCTTATACCGGGCTTGATTCGGGCTTATTTCGGGCGTATGTCGGGCTTCGTCCGGGCTTACTTTTGGACCGGCCCTCACCTACTTTCTGGTTCCCCCTCCCTGTAGTCTGAGTGTGCGAGATTGGGAGATAGGTCAGCTATTCCATAGCATTCCCTTGCCGCTTGGTGGGAGCACCAGGGCTCTTATGCTAAGAGAGGGAGGCCTAAGGGGGGGAGAAGGCAGCTCCATGAAATTTCCAAGCTCGCCCCTACCAATGAAGATGCGAAATCAAACATGTGACAGTCCAGGGACTGGCTCGTGGGTCGCTGGGCACACCAGCGTTCGCGATGAGAACTGTGCCTGCCGTATCCTGCCGCTAGTCTGGCTCCCGGCTCTTGGCACTTGACGCCCGCCGTTTGCGACTCAATCCTGCAGGACGGGCAGGGCATCCTATGGGAGTGCAGAGTACTGGTATCTTCCGGGGTTCGGCAGTGCAGACTGTCTGAAAGAGCTGCAGTCCTCACAATTACGGCTCAGCCGTAAAATCAATTGAGTCAGCATTTCTGAGAAGAATGCCCTGTCTTAGGTTCGGAAGTTGTGATGTGAGTACAGTAACCACCGGAATTGTCCTACATGTGTTTTCCCAATCCCTATGCATACCTATGCCATACTATGCAACCTTCGATTGGGTCGCTTCTGCACAAGATGACTATAACGGGACGTACCCTCAACACGCCAGGAACACAATGGCTCTTCTCAAGCAGGCCGTCCGCTCCGTCTCCCAGGCTCCTGGGTTAAACAGGTTGTGTCGCAGTGCGAAGGGGCGGGGCGGGCGTTTCCCTTCTCGTTCTGCAGGGTTCCTTGTCGTCTAAAACATGTGGATGCGAGTTGAAGAGATGGGGGAATCAAAGATCGAGGATGGAGGGTTTCAGTGAATGCCTCACAACCTCCACATATCAGCAACCACACTGGAATCCATCGGCGTCATGCTTGTTGAGGGGACCAGGGGAGAGTCACGAGTTTGGGTTGCCTAAGCTCAAGCACCAAAACCACGCAGAAGCTAAAATTCAGTTTTTCCAACAGTGCGGAGCTGGTTGGAAGCAGAGGAAACAGAAGAGCAATGCGTTCGAACAGGTGTCTGCCCTCCGTGCGGTGGCTCCAGGCCTTTTTTCGATGATGTTCGGATCGTCGGGTTATATGAGTGTCTTGAACAAAGCTCCCAAGTGTAGTGGGAAAACCCTAAGCTAAATCGCAGTCCGCGAAGATTGACGCGGGGGAGGCGATCCGAAGTGATTGAACCAAATTTTGATCCGAGCCTCAAAACCTTGAGCGAACACAGAGGCAAATTGAAGGCTTGCTTCCAAGGCTCCGGGCTTTGATGGCCGCTGGGATGCGACACTTCAGAGATTGAGGATCTGAATGTATCTTCTCTTGTTTGACTCTGGGGTACTCATCCCGAGATCACCACTATGCATGGAGGGGAACTGCGCAATCGGAGTGGATCGTAGAGAATCTGAAGGTCGTGTCACCGAAGCCACGCCGATCTCCGTGCCTATCCCCTGCATGACGTGAGGAGCGTAGGTCTGTAGCACCAACACTGAAACATGTGTCAAATGCCAGAGGATTCGGGACCGAACAGCTTAGCCGCTTGCACGAAGCCTTTATGTCACAAGCCAGGTGCAGCGGCGCTCACACGTGCCATCGCCCCGGCGGCCGAGGCCATAATCAGGGATCCCCGGTCTTTATTGAAAGCAAGAGCTTCAAGAGCTCGTCCTTGGAATCTTAGTTTTTGCACAAATCAACAACTTAACTTTGAAGACATACAAGCACACCTCACAGTACTCGCACCTTGAAGCGCTTCGAACTTGACGGAGTGGCAAGTCTCCTTCTAGACTACGAAACCCTTCACATTGTGCTTGGTTAAAGCCAAAGCCGGTGAAGTTTAGGATTTCAGTCGTGCCAGAAGCTCGTGGCATGGGCCGGGCTCGGGCCCTGAAGCCCGAGCCCATCAGTCGTGCTCTGTGCGCTGTGGATGTCGGTGACCAGGTGTCCCAGTCCCGAGTGGCAGCTCCATTGGCCCTCGGACTAGGCAAGGTCTCTCTGCGGGGGTTTAACCCGAGGTTTCGAATTTAATGTGGAGACCGGCAAGTTCCAAGGGGTGGTAAGGTGCCCATGGATCTGGTTTCGCTTGTTCGAGCTTGGAGAGTTTCAAGGTTAAGCCCTGTTGGAAGTCATATCGCCGATATCGCCATTTTAGCTTGCGTCCATCGATTCCTGCAGCACCCTGGCCAATCCTGTTGTCCACCGCCCATTTTCCCCGCTCACTTTACTATTCAAAATATACCAGTACGTCACGACACCCTTTCATGCTTCGAAAAGCCATAGATACAATGATACAAGGGTAGGTTTTTGTGGCAAAGCTTCCTGTGCCTTCCTCGGCAACTGGATCTCTTGGAATTCATCTATCCAGCCAGCGCGACCTGACCGCCATGACTGAACCAGGGATCCGTGGTTGACTTCTTCTTGGTTTTGAGGTTCCATAGGTCAGGTTGCCAGATGAGTTTCTCACACCTGATTTCGAGAACAAGCGTGGGTTTGAACAGTTTAACAAGGCCTTATTCTGAATAACTTTGGGGCTACACTGCTCGCCTTTCCACTTCATACTTCCATTTGGATGATCTCGGCCTCCAAGTCTATTTAGAGCCAGACCCGTCTATAAACTCTGATGCGGTGCATGGCAGGTGAGCCGCTGGCGAAGCGAGCCTCATCTGATCTGAGATCGTTGTAAACTAAGGTGCTATGCTTCAAAAGAGGCCCTACTCAGATCATCTTGTATCATGGGAAACCTGAACTGCACTCTAGAACTGCTTTGTTCTTGCCTCTAGTAGGGTGCCAACTGCAGCTTTGGGCTGCTCGGTTTGAGGCCAGCTCGTCTGCAAGCTATCAAAAGCAAAAGGACTTGTTCTTTACCGGTTGTGGTTGTCAGGCGTTCCACGAAGTGCGGTGAGCAATGTAGGCTTTACAGCCGACCCGGATGTAGCAACACTTAACTTAAACTCCACCACCCATCCGATGTCTTAAAAATCATGAAGCCGTAGAAGCTGTGCGCAATGTGCATGCTGTGCGGTGCTGTCAATCCCTTGTGTGATTCATGTCGGGATTCTTTGTCGACAGTTTGGTCTTCACCAGTTGAGGGATAGGGTGCAGAATTCTGAGTTTGCAGTCGAGGTTCCGGCCAAGTGAAGCATGCCTGCAAGAAGCAGAACCCTGTCCCTCAAAGCTCGAAGCTTCTTGAGGCCATGCCGGAGTGTCTGTCCTGGGCTGCGCCATTGCTATGGTGGCAGTCGGCGGCTGTGCACAGGACAGCAACTCGTGAAATCTGAGTCAGCTACTCAATCCTGATTGCCACGGTTTGCCGTTCGCAGGCCTAAGTCCCCACAAAGATTCAACAGCAACTGAACCTTTGCGATCGGTTCGGTCCGAGCCATGATGTTGTCCGCCTTTTCACCGACGGTGAAGATGTACAGCTTCAAGCCCCACCCAAGAATCACGAGGCTTGAGCATTGTCCTAAATACAGAGCCAAAACAGGTCTTCACTTGAAGGTTATGTTTTACTTGACTACTATCGAAGGCCCTGAAACTCTGAAAGCCAGAGGCCAGAGCAGATTGAATTGCGATGATGTTGCAGGCGTATGACGAAAAGCTTGTCCCCACATTCCCCTAGCGTTGCAGGGTATCGGCCAGCTCTTCGCCGCTCTGGTTGTTGGAATGGCACGCAATCCTTCGATGAAGGAGGACGACTATTATTGTAAAGCCCAGCTATCGCTGGCTAGTTGGCTTTGGTTCAGGCTTAGGAACATTGGCTTCTGAGGATATGCAGACCATCGTGATGCCACACTGGTCCGGACTATGCAGTATCACTTCGTTGAAAAAGATGCAGTCTTATTGCATCACAGCTAGTTTCATTTATTGACATGTCCTTCTATCTACCTCTCTATCTGTCTGCTTGTCTCTCCGTCTGCCCGTCTGCCTGCCTGCTTGCTTGTCTGTCTGTCTGTCATCCGTTTATCTAGCAGCTAGCACGTGCACCATGGCATCTTGTGCAATTTTGCACATCATGATGGAGTTCCTTAAATTCCCCTGAATTGTCTCGAAAGTCATCGCCTAGCCCAGTGGTAATTCCACGAGCAAGGGCTTCGAGTTCCGGCTGGTTGAGCCTTGCCCCTGGCATTTCTCAGGGCCTTTCGTAGCCGCCTAAGCTAATCCCTTCAATTAGCAACAGAAGATTCGGGCAGCTAGCTTCCGAGAGTGCAACAACCCTGAATCCAGGATCCCTCGTAGGCCACACAGTGCAGGATTTGTTCACCTACACCCTAATTGGGATGGGATTCCTGGAGCCGCTTGGCAGAAAATGCAGATTTGGAGATGGATGGGGCGTTGGGTCGGGTTCCTGCCGGGGCAGTTGGAGCTTGGAGAATCGTACAGAGCTCGAGCTCTCGACCACCAAGTCAGCATGCACAGTAGCTAGAGATCGCCAGGAGCGGCAGTCTCAACGTCAAACACGTAAGTTGCCTTCTTCACCAGAAAGATGCCCTGAACCACCTCACTGCCATATTTCCAGGTGCCAGGCCACTGAAAACACTGGGCTCTGGCCAACTGAGGTTCTTGGCGATTGTGGTGATCCTCATCGCGGGCCTGCTCTTGTACTCGGAGCTTCTCGGACCAAGCTGTGAAGTGCTGTTATTGATCCACATTGCTATTGTCGCCTCTCTCACTGCGGCAGCTACGCCGGCGACGGTCACTGCTGGTACTTCCTAGCCTGCTTTCGGTGATGTTGGCCCCAAGGCATCAAAGTGAACTCTATGATGACATAAGCTGAACGGGTTTCGTCGACCCCAAATTCCTGTACTGGTGCTAGCATCCCAACCCGTAAATTCTGGCCGAGCCTGCTGAGACCTCACACTGGACAAGGCTGTTTGTTGCCGGTTATAGAGATAGCAATGGAGAATTCGTGCCAGTGCAGGCTAACACGCGGGGTTTCTCCCTTAATTTCAGAGCCAAGACGCCTTGGCCAAGGTGAGAGCGGGTGCGGCTTGGGCAGTCAGCGGTGAGATGCGTCTAGAACACTAAGCCATGTCCGAGCAAGCCTTGTTTCGTGCTACCGCATATTTAGTTCCAAGCCTTAGCTGTTTAAGCCTTAAGGTTGGGTTACGAGCAGACCTCACGTCCCACTTCTCAAGCAGAGGCATCACAGCTAATCTTCCCCCAACAGAAAGTGAACTGCCTGCATGGGTTCCACAATTGAAGTGATGATGCTTGCTCAGAGCCACTAGCCACGCCAAGACCCACAGACCAGTGGTCGTTTTGACAATGTTTGAAGTAGTCGCATCATGAGAGCTTGAAAAAACTTGCTGACCCCTCGCAGTGGCAGCATTACCTGAGCTGCCACGCTGACTTCAACACCACATACAATTCGAGTGTTCGTTCACCTTGCGGCTTCTACACTGCCGCCACGGGGTGGTGGGCTGGGGGTGCTAACGGTTCGTCTTTAGTCATCCCTGGCTTGTGCTACTCATGCTGCTGCTAGTGCTGGTGCGAGTGCTTCTCCTCCTCCTCCTCCTCCTCCTCCTACTACTACTACTACTACTACTACTACTACTACTAGTACTACTACCACTACTACTACGACGACGACTGTGATGCACCGTTGCTGGCAGCAACCACAAGATCCTCCAAGTTATGAGCAGCCCTTCTTTCTCGCGCTTGTGCAAGCCCGAAATTCCAGTCACTAACAAAGCCTTGGACCCTGAAACTTGCCAAATACGCTGGGGCTGCTGTCGATTGCGTGAGCAACAGCAACTACAAGAACCATGGGAAAAGTAGCTGTCACGAGTACCACTGCCTGCCGCTAGTCTGGCCCGTCGGCTCTTGGCACTTGGCACCCGCAGTTGTTCCCAGCTCAATTCTGCAGGACGGGCAGCGCTTGGTTTCTGGGGTTTTGAAGTAGCTTAGCAAGGGGCTGAGGCGACTTTGGTGCACTGGTTGCCCAGGTGCATGGGCTTTGAAAATACAGCGTTTTTTCGACATACGATTCGTCAAGCAATAGAATTAGCAAGCTAAAACCTTTGCCGACTTCTGCACCGAAGCTTGGATAAGTTACGTCTTTTTACATAGCTGAGACTGGCACTGTGACTGAATGAAGGCACGGGGTCGCAGCATTGGGTCAATACCCTGTAGCCCCTCCTTGTAGACTGCAGCTTTAGTTGCAGGATGATTCGACCCGGGATTGGGTCGGCCTGGTGTGACTTCAGACATGCTCTGTGGGATACATCCAAACCTCGACTTGCGGAGGACAACTGCCCTGGTTGAAATAGCATAGAAGCTTCCAGCACCCTGATGCAGAATCGGATTGAACTCTGGAAGACTCTCAGCACTACGTTGGCTAAGCGCCGTCTCGTTTTAAAGCCAACCTGAAGCTCCATACCTGCGTCCGAAGAACCTGGACTTTATCGCCCTGCACCCGAAAGCCGAAAACAAGCCGCTACAATTCAGGAACAATGGCTCTTCTTAAGCAGGCCGTCCGCTCCGTCTCTCAGGCCCTTGGGTTGAACAGTGAGTTTCCCAATAGTTGCTTGTCAGGGAAATGGATGCTAAGAGTCCCCTGACGAGTGACCTTCAGGTGCTGGAAATCGCATGATGAGGGGTTTGTGGCTGTCAAGACATTTCTTGGGTCATGCGTGACAGCTGGAGTGTTAAATCTTAGCTGCAGGTCTGAGAATTTGCGTGGTGCTTTAGCGCCTGCTCCTTTGCTCCTTTGAACTGTAATGGCATTGACATGCCAGTAACCCCAGAAAAAGTAGGCGGTCAAGGCGGTGCATGTAACAGGTGTCCGCCCTCCGCGCGGTGGCTCCAGGCCGTGCTTTTGAGTTTTTGGGCTGTGTCGGCACCTTTTCGTACACATACAGCGACGTAAGGAAAAGGATGGAAAAGGAGCTGCGAAGGGTGCAAAAGCCTTTGACGAACTCCCAAATCCTGAGCGCTCGAGACGCAAGCTTCCAAACTCGGAAATCCTTGAATGAGGCTGCACAGCCCGCGTTTGTTGCTGTTGCAAGTCCGAGGCAAGCGGATGCAACGAATTCACACCGTCTTCCGTGCTGATTCTGAACGCCGAAGTCTAAACCTGTCCACCTGTCCTTATGGTACCAAATACTGAAGCCAGAACAAAAACCAGTAAGAAGTGCACGTTGAAATGATTACCCACATCCTAGCTTCGCTGGCAAGGCACGCGACCTTAAGTTTGCTTTCGAGTTAGAGTCAAAGTTCGATTTGTTATGGTTCAACATGTTCAAATTTCCCAGGATGAAAGCATGAATGGAAAGGCTTTGAGGCCTATGTGTCGGGTTGTCTGCCATGGTCTCGCTTGTCGTGCAAAGAGCTTTATTGCATGCCAGATGGCAAGTCCATACCCACCTTGAATGCAATCAACCTGGGCGAGTCTAGCAGCCTTACAGATAATTAGCAAGAAACTCCTGGTATTTTGTGCACGCGGCAGCTCTGAACGTCTCAATCAGCCTTTGAAGAACCATGCCAGTGTCCGTGCCTGATAGAACCACAAGAAGCAGGGGTAAACATTCTTCACAGCCAGCCCTCCCATAACTGGAATCCATTGCCCGAAGTCCGCCACTTTTGCGTCCAAGACAGGAGCATCGGTGCTGACACGCGCCATTGCCCCGGCGGCAGAGGCCTTTCGGCCCAGCGGGGTTTTAGAATGTTAGAGTTTATCACGGTCAACCGGCGAAATCCGGCGAAGGCGCGAAGGAGCACGGCTTCCAAGGTTTAGTTTAAGACAGCCTGCGTGCAGAGATGGGTGCAGTTGTGTGCCACGAGAGGAGGGAAGGATCATAAGATGAGACCCTGCATCACATGCTTTCGTGCACTTAGTGGAGAGTCTCTCCTCCACGACTCTAACAAGTGCGCTGAAATAACAGTGGGCTGTGAACGCAAACAGTTTGTCTTGATCACCCAGTTGGGGTATCAGCAGCCCGTACCTCCTCGCCATTCGCAGCTACCCTGCACACACGCACACGCGCACCGGCTGATTTCAGGATGTTGGGTAGGCTACGCACGAAGTCTGCAACCTTCATTTTCGTTGACATGGCGCCGTACTGGCAACGGGCTTCCTTCAAGAACTTGCGTGTCGGTGGTCAGGTGTCCCAGTCCCGTGTGGCAGCTCCGTTGGCCCTCGGCCTAGGCAAGATCTCTGGGATGTGTGCATGCAGCTTAGCTTGAGGGTCTGCTTTGTGTCCTTTAAGCACGCAAAGGCAGCAGTGGTGCAACATCTATAGTGATTTCAGTCCATGCCTCCGCTTTCGACTGTGTGACACAATGCGAACTGCGATTTCGATGGTGCAGTTGTGCTGGGATTTCGGAACGGATTTCGGACGGAAGTTTGTGGTGGACCCAGTGCTGTATCTGAGACTTGCCGAGATCATTGAGATCATATGGACACCATGGAGAATCGACAACTGCAAACAAGCGACTTATGTATTCTTCCTTGCACAAAAAACGGTGAACATGACCCTTCCCACAGGCCTCCGTCCTTCAATTTGTGGCATAGCAGTTTGCTTTGACTGCAGAACAATGTCAGAGTACCTACTTGGTCTCGTATCCTGCAAATGAGACACCAATTGCGCGAGGTGAGCCAATGGCCAAGCGAGCCTTGTCCGACATGACAGTGTAGTAGGGCTTAGGGTATCTAATCGCAGCCCAACATTGCAGCAAGCTTCTTGAAACAATCCATACCCCAGTCCGACCTGGTACTGGAAGAAACCATTCTTCGTGGCTTGTATAAAATACAAAGTCTTGGCTTCAAGGAAACTCGCTGAGGTAATTCTTAAGTCTCGGGCTCGCATGACTTCAGCTCAGGAAGAGGTTCGTTTCGGGTTTCCATCGCAGGCTCTGCTGCAGACGCAATCACAACCATCGTCAATCTCTCTGTTCCCCCCAGTCCAAAATCCCAGCCAGACCTTGAAGCGTCAAATGTCGTCTATCTGTGTATCTATCTAAGTCTGCTCACCGCTAGTCTGCCCCTTGAGCTTTGCCTTCGAGCCAGGTTGCAGCACTGTGGCCTGCTTTTGAGGGTTGAGAGCATGCAACGGGAACGACTCAGGATAGTGGACAAGGTTTTCGAACTTAGGACTCGGCGCTAAGGATAAGCCCGGGATTTAGCAATCTAGCAAGTGTAGCTTCAGCTTCCGGTGTTGGGTTTTGAATTATCTGTTTGTGGCTTGGGCTGTGGCGCTGAGAACTGCGACTTTACAGGTGGAAGTTCTGCGCCGATGTTTCCTGTGTTGTCAGGCCACACCAGGTGGAGCCTCAGCCGAGCCTATTTAAATTCTTGCCCTTGAGCAATCAACGTTACGAGGCCATGCCGGAGTGTCTGTCCTGGGCTGCGCCATTGCCATGGTGGCAGTTGGCGGTTGCGCACAGGCCTGCACCTCGTGGACACTAGCTACTCAGTCAATCGCATGCTGCATTTTTGAGCGGTTCCGCGCTGTCCGTCGTAGTTGTTTTAAATGATGCCCAAGTAGGTTTGCTTCCCTTGAAGCAGTATGTGGTCCAGAATGAGGCTGCAGCGAGTCCCTCTCCCTATAAGCACAACCAATGCGAACACTCTGCGGTTGGCAAAGTGTATGGGTCCCCCTAACCTTGCAACCCCAACAGCCTTGTAAAATCATCCGTGAAGCCTGCGACCACTTTCCACAGTCATGAAGGGTATCGGCCAGCTCTTCGCCGCACTGGTTGTCGGAATGGCACGCAACCCTTCGATGAAGGAGGACGGCAGGATTTTTGCTGTAAAGCCCGGCCGGCAGTCGAGAGAAGTTGGGGAACATTGGTGAACATGGCTGGATATAGCTCCCCGGTCTTCGAACCAGGGCTGAGGGAGCTGAAGATTCAAGTTGTGGCTGGTCAGGTTATTGCGCGAAGGGCTTGGGGTGAACTTACTTGACAGACTCTCTGGGTTTGACAGCATCAAAAGGCCAGGCACAGGTTTGTTTTGCGTAGCCAGTACCGCATTGAGACCTCACAGGCTTGCTCTCTTGAAATTTCGGGCTGTAGCGGGATTGGACATTGAACTCGAACGTCCATCCCTGCCAACTCTCCCGTTCCCTGCCCCCGTCTGCAAAACTGGAGATCAAGTACAGATCAAGTGCAATGCAGCATATGACATTGCATGATCTCAAGCGACCTCATGCTGCACGACATGCACCGTGTTATTAATGTGATGTAATTCCAACACGTAACCATCCTGCGACGGCGTTTTCCACATTCCTCCGACATCTGCACACTCTGTTGCAATGCGCAATGCTAGCATTACAGGTTGTCAAGGTGTCATGATGGCTACTTCTATCACTCTGCCTGTACAACTGCATATTTGTTTCAATACTCTAAAGTCAAGCCTCATGAGTTCTGTTAAGGAATTGCTAGGCTCTCATGTTGCTTGTGTTTTCTGTTGGTTGCATTTGCTTGAATTGGCGCTATGTTTCCTACTAGTATGAATACTGTCATTACAGTACACCGAGACTTCTTACGCGATTTTGCTTTGATTGTGTGAATAGCGTTATTGATGCCCTCGTTACAGTACATGAGCAGGTTGTTCCGATGGTACACGCCATAGTATTTTGCGACCAGTGTCATCCCACCATAGCAATGAGTCGTGGCATTTTGCAGGTAGCGTCACACGTATATCACAAATCCTTGGCCTAGTGAGCCGGGCCTAGCGTGCCGTTACAACCTCCAGGGCTACCTGCCCTGTTGAAAGTTCTTGCCCCAAACCCTGATCCGGCTCCAAGTTTGATGTGCACGGCCCTAGGTGTGGCGGTCATTGAGTTGTTTCAAGGTGCACATGTCGAACTTGAGAAACAACTACAAAGGGCAGCCCCACTTGCACTGTAAGCTGCTGGGTGAAGGATCTGTTCACCTACACCCTGATTGGCATGGGTTTCCTGGAGCCGCTTGGCAGGGGCGGGGCTGCACTTGAGGTTTGCTTGGAGGGCCGATCGGCAATGCGGCAAGGCGTTTACTAGCAGTCAACTTCGTATGGTGCTCATGGTACAGCCCAGATTTGTTCATCTTCATCTTGGAAGAGGGTTGCAGGAGCAGCCGGATGGCTTCAGCTTTGGAGTCCGTCCGTCGTTTAAATGCGCTGTGCTCCAAGGAAGGTCTAGGTTTAAGACCATTTTTCGGGGCAGCTTTTTTGGCCCTTTCCTGATCCAACAGCCCCCCGCCCCCCGACTGAGGTTCTTGGCGATTGTGGTGATCCTCATTGCGGGCCTGCTCTTGTACTCGGAGCTCCTCGGCTGGCTCTTGTTGATACTAGTTGTACTCCTGGTGACCCCTGCAGTCAAGAGCCTTCTTGGCTTCCACTGGGACTCGAAGTTACTCTTCCTGAAACTGCACCCGTGTCTGGCGAGCCCTAGTCATTTGATGTCAAAGATGTCTGTTCAAGTGTCCTAACCCTGTGGTGCGCGAGACGCCGGCAGTAGGGAGGTGGAGTGGGAATGGCCGATTCCGAGAGGTTCCTTCATATCCCTACGCTTTTGCTCGTTTTAGACTTCAGCCTTTGTTGTTGTTTGCGTTTGAGATTCCGTAGCTTCGCTGAAGGTTACCTCCCAGACCTTCTGGACATCTCTTGGATAACTCCCAACGTTAAAGCGTCGGTGGAAGTGCTGTATTTGGCCCATCACCCCTCCATACCGCTCCCCCGTCCCCCCTCGCAGCAAAGGTCCTGAAGCTTCAAGACTCAAAAAGACGTGAAGTTGATAGAATAAACCAGCAGTCCAAACCTTGCCCAGAGATCCAAATTCTTGACTTTGGAAACCCCATGCTAAAGCTATCATTATCAGCCACAAAACCCCTCGCTCCACGCACGATTTAGTGACAGTGTAGCAGAAAAGCCATTCCTGTTTACATGGCTTTCTACCCGCAGCGGGGTTGTGGGGGTGTCCTGTGCTTTCAGGAGACCCAAATTTGTTCCATCCTCAAGACACTTCCTAAGGTGAGAGAGCCTCGACGGCTGTGTGCAGCTTGGCTTCCGCAGCCAACGCTGAGATGCTTCTGAGCCTAACAACAAGCACGCCGAGTCCGAGCAAGTCTTGTGTCACACTACAGGAAGTGTTGTTCGGGTCATTACCAACATAGCCTTGCGAGTTTCCGGATATCTCTATACACACCCGTCAAGTCTAATCGCTTGTTTTAATGACAGCTGCCCGTCGGGTCATCAGAATATGCAAAATGTAGAGCACAGTTGTTCTTTGTTGTTGTGTTGAGTCCACAATTCTGTTTCCACCTGCCCCATAGCTCAAGGTGTTCTAGGGCTTTGGTTCAGGGTCATAATTGGAAGACGCGTGCGAGACCCTAATTTAATGGTAATTAGTTAAGGAAGGTGCCTTTCGTCTTCGAGCATCATCTTGGCAGACTTACTCGCGCTTGCTCGGAGCCACCAGCCATGCTAACAGCCGCAATCCAGTGGTCGTTTTGACAATATTTGAAGTAGTTGCATCTTGATGGCCCGCAAAAAGAGTCGATACCAGGTCCGATACCATTCACGGAACACTCCGGGGAGTGACGTATTCATGACGGACATAGGCAAAATTTCACGGTAAGATCATCCACTGAAACTTAGAACGCTCTTATTATAGTTATTAAGCAATGTTATTAGTAAGTATTTTTTGGGCTCATTTACATGTCTGTGAAGGAAGGAACGCACGCGCACAGGCATCTATACATCTACACACATCTACATGTGCATGTGCATGGACTTGTACCCATACCGATTATGCCCATTGTACCTAGTGTACCCATTATACCTGTCATACCTATAGTATACCTATTTCACCTCAGCCTCACTGCCAAGTGCTTTCGTTGAGTCGACTTTGTCTTTGTAAAGATCACCAGGTTCCATTACATGATTCCATGAACCGAGGATCCAAGTCCTCGTGTTGTGCCTACTTCCAAGCCAGGCACTCTTCATGACGGGGCAGAAGTACAGGCTTCCATCGTACTTAATCAACCACATGGTTGGCAAATGCTTCGGGAATGGTTTGCCTTTGGTACAACGACATGCGGGGAAAGCGCAAACTGTTAGATTTGAGCATCGAATAGCTGGGTAAGAGGAATTAGGTCACTGAATGGTCATCTTTTGGAGGCCCAAGGCTGTCCTCGCACTTTTCATTTTCTGCCATGGCGCCACCTCGAACCGGAATTCGCATGTTGTAAATCCGCCCAAGGTCTCCCGTGCAATCGTGGACTGAACTAACGGCATTTTCATGCTGCAGTGCCGTGCAAGAGAGGCCTTGGGTAACTTAAGTGCGTACAAGAATGCCATCCAGGCCTGTGGGCCAAAAGCACAGTGGCAGCGAGCCCTCGCGTACTTGGCGGATCTTTGCAACACGGGGTTGCTGGCGAACGCAAGGGTGCATACTGCTGTCATCAATGTTTGCAAGAGAGCTGCTAAGTGGCAGATGGCCTTGGCCGTGCTTGCCCATGCACAAGACAAAGATTTGCTCCTGGACGTCGTGGCCCTGAGCACAGCTGTGAGCGCCTGTGAACGGGGTGCTAAGTGGGAGCAAGCATTGGGATTGCTAAGCTGGGCGGCGAGGCAAACGGTGCAAGTGGACGTGATTCTCTGCAATTCTGCAATCAGTGCCTGTGAGAAGGCTGGACGCTGGCAGGAGGCATGCCTCCTCGTGACAAGAGTTGAGGACCTGCGCATGCTTCCGAATGCCGTCACTTACAACGCTGCGATGAGTGCTTGCAGGGAGGACGGCCAGTGGTGGGTTGCGATGGCTTTGTTGAACCAGATGTTGGATTGCCAAGTCTTGCCAACAGTCGTAACATACAATGCTGCCATCAGTGCCTCAGCTGCAGGGAGTATCCCGTACTCGAAATCTTGTTAACGCAGTGTTCGGGAGGTGTACAGAGTTCTAGTACTTCTCAAGTCTCAAGGTTCAGGTTTAGATCTCAGATTCAGGTGGGGCCGGCAGAAGTACGACGCCCCAAATAGCTCAAAGCTCATCGAACGTTTCTGATCGTTCCTGAGTCAGGGTCTAGTTCTTTAAAATTATACCAAAACTACTCACTGTACGCTTTTGGCTATGAGGCTTGCACGCTTTGTGACGTCAGGGTTCGCGCACATTGCTTGGCCGCCACAGCGACAGGTGCTTGTCAGGATCCTTGTGCAGATGTTTGGTGTCGCGCAGTTGCACTGATCGTTGCTTGGGCAGCATTGAGAGTGCGTTTGCTTCGGCTTACAGCACCTGGGATGGGGCGCAGTCCACAACTTCGGCTGGCGGCATCTAAGAATCTAAGGTAGAGATGGAGGCCAGGCAACTGCAACCAGAGGCTCGGCCGCAGGCTTAAGACTTCCCTTGGCCGAGCATTGCACAGATAAAAGTGTCAGGCTGTGAAGGGTAGGATCCAGAAATATATGCAGACAGTAAGACTCAGTACGTTTTTGAGGTGAGAAGCCAAACGCAACCGGAGTGAAACCCAAAGTAGCTGGAGTGTGTGTGTGTGTGTGTGTGTGAAGAGGTGCTTTTTCACGAAGTGCTGGCGAAGACTCAAGCCCACACCCTCCAAAGGCCTCCAACCTTTGTTTGCCACTCATGCCTAGGCTAAGTTAACGACATGAACGACATGTGTGACGAGCTGAGAAATACACGGTGCCAAGACACGGAAGCAACCATCATGGACTGCCCATATTGATATTACATGGTGATACTGTAAGGGACTCCAACGAAGCTGGCGCCGCAGTGTCATCCAATGGACTTGCACGATTGCTCATGTTGAATTTGCTGGTGTTCTTGCAGGAGCGAAACACACAGAAAGCTGAGAAACAGCAGTGCCATGAGCTTTCTGCAAATACGGGGTTGTGTCACCTACAGATCGGACACTCCGTTGAAGCAAGACGAAGAGCAAACACTGCAGAACTAATCGTAACTCACAACTAATCGCCTGGACCTTGGACCGCCTCATCACTGCGTAGGTGTTGTCGGACGCCTTTCCAAGTGTAGGACAGTCTTGTACTGTCCAAAGCTAAGGACCTGGTCACTTACACCTTGGCCATCTCTTCTTGCCAGTCTCCGATGGCGTGGATGCAAGCGCTTGCCTTGCTTGGCGAGGCTCGACAGGGTTTTTAGGGCTCGAGGGATTTGCGTTCTTGGGGCTTCAGGTTCAGGCGCACGGACGTCTCGGCTGTCAGGCCTTAAGGTTGTTGGCAATTCAAGGATGTGATGCTCGCAGTTTTAGTTCCTCAAGGATTTTGTGGGAGGTGGGATTCAGGTCGGGTTGTCCGACTTTGCACCAAGTGAGATGGCACCTGATTCTGTGCTCGCTTTGGTTTGGGTTTAATGCTTTCGGGGGCTTGCAAAGTGATACACGCTATGATCCCTGGCCTCGTGACGGTAGTCTTCTCGTTTTTTCAAGCCTGTCCTGAATCTCCATGTGTAAAGCAGGTGGAGAGGCAGGGGCTGCAGCTGGACATCGTCGTGTGCCCTGCCCTCGTCGAAGGCTTCAGACCCCCGAGAAGTTGTGGCTGGGGCTTGCTGGAATCTGCAGATATGATCGAAAGCGCTGACCTAAACCTCTCAATCGCAAGAACTGCATGGGCCTTTCTTTAGTCGAGTGCTACCGTCTCTTACACATCCGACTTCGATTACCTGCCCAAGTCTGGTCCGGTGTTTAGGGTAGGAATCCGCAGAGCAGGTACAACGCTGCCATCAGCGCCTGTGGCACGGCACGATGCTGGGAGTTGGCCCTTCACATGGTGCAGGACCTCATGTTCGAAATATCTGGCACACTGCCCGAAAACAGCACATGCACGCATTAATCTTTGAGGCTTTCAACCTCGCACTTCTTGCAGCCGCAGCTTCGCAGCCCAAGAGTCAATGTGTCGATGGTGAAGTCCATTGGGCAGAGGGTTGTGTGGGTGCGTGTGTTGAAGGTGGATGGCAGAGATTTTTGTTGGCTGGGTTCCATATCACCATTGCCACAACGAGCACAGCCAAAACAACCCCAATCACAACCACGACCATAAGCACAACCACAGCCACGACCGCAACGACGACGACCAGAGAGCATGTCCCGCTGGGTTCACATCCACGCATGGTCTGCCCCGTTTCGCGGAAGGGCTCGGGCTTGGGCTTGAGCTTTGCACTGTACGGTTGTAGGGTTTAGGGTTTAGATTTTGCGGTTTGGGCTCGGCTTTACAGTTTGGAATCTTAGTGTTTCGGGTTTAGTTTAGGGCTTAGGGTTTAGAGTAGGGTTGTCGAGTTTAGGATGATTTAGGGTTTGCGGGTTTAGGGTTTGGGGTTTCGGGCTTAGTGTTTTGACATCAGTATTATTGGGTTTGGAGTTTTGGTTTCGGGGTTTACGGTTTAGGGTTTGCGGTTTAGGGTTTAGGAATTTGGGCTTTAGGTCCCAGTGTTTTCAATTCGGGTTCTTGTATAGGCTTGAGGTTAGGGTCTGAAGGGGTTCAGGGTTTTGGGGGCGTAGGGTTTTCAATTTTGGGGTTTTAGGGCTTTGGGTTAGGGTTTTAACCAGGGTTTTTGGCGTTAGGGTTTAGGGTTTGCGGTTTAGGGTTCAGGGTTTAAGGCGTAGTGTTTTGTAATCACTGCTCTGTGGTTTAGGATTTGGGGCCTCCTGGTGCTTTTTTGTTAGGCTTCTTGGGGTTTGAGGGTTCAGGGTCTCAGGGGGTTTGGGTTTTGGGCTCAGGGTCTCTTCGAGCAGGGTTGTCGGGGTTTGGGGTTTAGGCTGTGGGTTTTAGGGTTTAGGGTCTGGGGTGCAGGTTTTAGGGTGTAGGCTTGAGGGTTCAGGGCTTAAGGCAGTATATCAGATTTCGTAATTTTCTTCTGTAGGGTCTTGCGAGCTTAGGGTTTAGGGTCGGATTCTTGCAGTTTGGGTTTTTGAGGGTGTCGGGTTTTGGGGGTTGGGGGTTTAGGGTTCAGGGTTCGTGCCTACATCCAGAGTTTGGGGTTTAGGGCAGCAGACCAATCCTAGGCCTGCGTATCCGGAAAGCACGTGCGCATATGAACCGAAGCAGCGAGCACATGGGAGCCAGGGGCCACGCGCACGTACGAACCCCCGCCCGATGGTCCCAGCAGCCCCAGCAGCCGCAGCAGCATCGGCAGCAAACGCAGCAACAGCAGCATTAGCAACACCAGCACCAGCGATACTCCCCACAAACAGCTGGGGGTTTACTGGTGTCCGATGCTTTGGCGGAGAAAGCCACTAAACCTCGGGACCTGAGACCCAACCCTGGCGACGCCACAAACATAGATGCTCAGCATACTAAGAAAGCTCAGTCTGGTTTTTTATGGTGCTTGGCAGGAAACAGAAGCGACATCGCTTGCCCCAGACATCGTGACTTTCAATGCCGGGATCTGCGCCTGCCACTTCGAGCATGAATATCTAAGGCAACATGTTCAGGTTGGAATGTCGGACTGCCAAATTTAGGGTCTGCGGGAGGTGAACTAACCCGAAATGGGGTGGTTCTTCGTCGTTGATGGTGCTACAGAAGTTTTAGCGAGTTGGGGGTTTAGAGTCTAGAGCTTTTGTACCGTTGAAAACATCCATGTTTTGCCGTTGGTGAGCTTGTGCGCCTACGCAAACAAAATCTGGAAGCCAGCGACGGTTTTGCCGAGGGGCATCCCCACGGAATCGATGTGACTGAGTCTTTGAGCGTTAAAACTCAATGTTTCGTGCAAGACTTCCTTCGAAGCGTTTGCCCAGACATCATGACATAAGCAGGTATTCAGGAGGCAAGCTTGGCCACAGATTGGGGGGGAGGGGCTGAGTCTCAAAGTCGTGTACCGAATCACAGGCTCTTCGAGCTGTTTGTAAAGTCCGTCGATGAACAGTTTGCACAGTCGACCTAGTGTTGTCTTGCTCAATAATGTGGCACAGGTGCACTTTGAAGATCCTTCCGTTTTGCCCGGTCTCGCGAGTCTCGCTGCTTGTTCTACAATGCCACAGGGCCACATGTGTTCGCGAGGCCAGGGACCAGGTTTGTGGCCGCGAAGCTGCGACCTTCTCCAGCAGCTCGAGGCCGGGTTCCGGGGTTCCGGCGCCAAAAGTCAAGAAGAGCTCATTACTTAAGTGGTTTGCGCGTTCGGGGGGGACGGGTCCGGCATGTTGTGACAGTTCGAGGAGGTTGGCACCTTCACTTTATCACTTAGTCATGTTCAGCAGGTCCGCTTCCGATTTTGTCAACCCTTCGCGTGTGGCTTGCTGGCCGGGTGCATTCTCTAAAAGGCAACGATGTAGAAAGGCTTGACGTGTCCATCCAGAGCAGAATCTTGGGTCCTTTCCTGTCGGAAGGCCTTACAATACGTAGTGTTTGAACCTCCGGCTGGCTTTGCTAATTAAATCTAGAATCTAGGCCGAACGAAACAGCCTCCTGACCAAAGCTTCAAGTGGTTTGAGGTAGCAGCACTTGGTCTTGTCATTCACCACCTGCTGTCTGCCTCTCCTCTACCGCTTTCCGTGCCCGAGGGCCGGCAACTGAGACCGGATGTCTTCACTTACAACCTGATTCTCCGTGCTCTGGAGGTAGGGTCTTCGGGCTGTGAGGTCTTTGCGTTTGGGCCTGGTATGCTGAGTTTCTGGCTGCAGAGGTTTTTGTACCGTATAGGGTTTAGGGCCAGTTTAGTGCATGCGGCAGGGTCTGTGCATGCGCGAGCTTGCGACTTCCAAACCTCTCAAGCTCTAAGATGCTTTCAGATTAGGCCAGGGAAGGTGCCGAACAGTGAAGAAGCACCGAGCAGTCCAAGCCCCACGCATGCAAAAAGCGTCTGAAGAACAGAAGCTGAGAAGAGCTCTTGCCAGTATTGCTGGTACCACGGCCAGCCATGCGAGGAGCAAGACGCTCAGTGGACCCTTGCCTTGGAGGTGCTGTCTCAGGCGGCCCTGCAAATTGCATTTGGAATGTGTGTGGGGCTAGCTTGCAGGCGTTGCATGAAGCTTGACACGCCGGAGTCGAACAAATTCAGGATGCAGAGTCGTGAGTCTGCGCACCCCTATGAGAAGACGAGCGACTGAGGTCCTGAACTTTGAAATATATGGGGCCTTGATGTCACGTGCTGACAGGGAGACCTTTTGCTTCAGACCCGGGCAGCTTTAATTTTGACTCTGCGCCTGCCAAGTCTTTTGCTGCATGACGGCCGCCAAACGTCCCTCCAGGTTGAGGCCAAAAGCCTGCAACCGGACGTGATCTCCTACGTCACCGCGATAAGCGTCTGCGAGCGCACAGGGCAGGCAACGGGAGGGCAGAGTGTCGAGCGTGCAGGGCAAACGACACCATTGTCTGATGACTTGGAATAATCATGGTTTAGGCTTCAGGGGCAAAGGCGGGGCCGCTTAGCTTTCGGTTCTACCGCGATGCCAAGTCGTGCTTGATTTCCTGCTGAGATAGCATGTACCACGTACCGACAACAGAGTCATCATCATCAGCAGCACCACCACCACAATCATCATCATCATCATCGGCATCGTAATCGTCATCCCCCTCCTGATCATTATCAGCACCACCATCATCACCATCATCATCATCATCAAGTCACCTCGAGACATCCCCCGGCTGTCGTTTGCTTCCAACGGAAGGGTTACAGGGTGACCCACCGCCGAATATGGCGATTTGCAAAACCCCGCTTTTGTTATGAGCTGCATTCGTTTTGTGGGGCAAATGGTGGATAATTCCAATGGCAAGTGCGTGAGCAATGCAGACAACTCTTGAAAGTTGGCATTTGGGATTGTTGAGGCTGTCGGGTCGGGCCGTGGCAGATGTGCTTCAGGGTGGAATAGCAGACTTGGTGACCTGGCTATACGGCATACGCGTGCACCTGCCATCAGTATAAGGACCAATGATGAGCGTAGTATCTCCGGTGATAAAAGAGATCTAGAATCTAGAGACGAGCCTAAAAAGACAGGTTGCATGAACCAGTCAGACATTCAGATTCAGCTCACATGGCCCCGAAGACGGCAGGGAGAAATAGACAGATACTGCGAAGTACTTGTCCGAACATCTCGCCTTGAAGTCTCATTTGAATGGAATGCCTAGAACTCATACGTAGATGATCGAAGTGCCTAGTCTGAAGCTCACCACGGTATCAGAACCAATACGCGTTCGCCTCGAGGCTAACATCGCTCTGCGACTTCTTATGGAGATGAGGGCTCGGCGACTGCAGAGCATCATAGCGTTGAGCCATGGCTCTGGAATTTCGCAGTTTGAAGCTGAGGACTGAGGCACTGAAGTCTGGGATTGGGTCTTGGAGTGAAGACTCTCCTCGAGAGCAGGGTATATATAACTATAGAGGCAACCTGAGATTTCGGAACTTGATGATGGGAGTTTGGGTCGATGATGAGGATGTGGACATGAGGCACCCACCCGTACACAGACAAAATTACTGGAGCTATGGACAAAAACCTCGCGCAGGAGAAGGTCAAGGTGAGAGGGGTTGTGTCAGTCAATACACAAGCAAAGCGAAACACGCATACCTACAGCTATACGCTATACACAGAAGTTGAAGTCAGCCCAAAAATACGTGCAAATACAAACACGAGGGCTGGTGCACCAGGGCTCACGCAAACAGAAAGACACACAGCCAACAGGTCGTCTCTCACCGGTACATACATGAATACCTCACATATGTATGCACACAGGTATATGGGCGCACATACACATACATGCATGCACGCGGGCGTGTGGGCAGGGAGGCAGGCAGCGGCAGGCCAGCAGGCCGGCAGGCAGGCAGGCATGATTTTCACATGGTGTAGGAACTTCATAAGGTAGGGTCTTTGAATTTCGGTTTTCTGTTCTCGGGGCATGATGGCAGAAGCCCAGGAATGCTGCAATCAGTGCATGCGGGCGAGGGGAGCAATGGCAGCAGGCCACCATGCTTACCTATCCAGTTAAGCTCGAAGCTTAAGCTTGAAGCCTGCGTTGCCTGCTTAGACTAGCCATGCCATGCCGCAGTGAGCAAATTCACACCACCAAATCAATAACTTTGCAGGCCCTTATACTCTTTTCCGGTGCAGAGCATCATCAGCTGGCTGTGGACGTGGTGACGTGCGGGGCGGCGGTCAGTGCGTGTGAGAAGGCATAGTCAGTTTGTCCACGATGTTGTTGCTGTACTTTGCGGGGTGGTCGCCGATGTCCGGGTTGGTTTTGCTTCGAGACAAGCGGCTTCAGGATGCTTTAATGACGGCATGCTCTGTATGCGTGCATGTTTTTTTTAGCGTTTCCTTCTCGTACCATGTTGGGCCATCAAGCAAAGACCCGAAACCTTCTGGTTCAGCCCACTTCAAGGCCGGGCAGTGGGTTCAAGCTCTTCAGCTTCTTTCGTCCGCTCATGCGGGCCGGCTACGTCTCAACGTCGTGGTGCTGAGTGCGGGTATCAGCGCCTGCGAGCCCCGGTCTTGGCATTGTGGTCCAGTTTGTCCGTTTGTTCGGGGCACCACTGCATCACATAGGGACCAGTGTTTGATCATGATGCAGGGATAGAACGCATGACGAAGCTGCCCATACGAAGCTGCCCTATTTGTGGATTGGAGCAAAGAGATCGTCGCATCGGCAACCCTATCTGCACCATTCGACTAGGAGACGGAGGGAGAGGGAGCTAGAGGCAGGGAGAAGGCGGGAGAGTCCGGGAGACTGAGCAAGAGTGGTTGTGGAATGTTTTTTGGGCTGAGTGGGGTGACAACATTTGGCTGTCGATCATGACGATGATCTTAAAGCTTTTTGTCGTGCGTGGGGAGGTCAGAAGCAACAACAGTGAAATCGTTTCGGGCTGCTCCAGTGACGGGAAGACAACATTTTGGTTTCCTTTTGTCATCGTAGAATTCCATCATGTCGTGTTTGTTTTGGGATTTCGTATGCCGTCCTTGAGCTTCGATCAGGGCAATTAACTCTCGAGCCTGAACGCTTCGACCCGTCTCGCGTCTCTTTCCCAAGGAAAAGGCCGTCCGATGGGAAGAAGCCTTGTGGCTGCTGTTCGATCTTCAAGTAACTCGGCGAATTCTCAAGGCTTGCAGAGATCAGAGGATGTCAAGTGTTTCGAGATGCTTCCGAACATTAAAGGTCCAGCCGTGGGGTTCATCGCGAATTCATGAGAGTCAGAGAGGCCAACTGTCCTCCCCAGTCTTTTCGAATGGCATCGAGCCCACAAGTCAGGGCCGGCACAACTCGAAACGCCAAGCTCTGCACGTACTCGTTGCGCACTCTGTATCTCGAGATTCTACCAGGCCTGAACACTTGAAAACCACGAGACTGAGGTTTGGCAGCTGGAGGCTGACGTGACCAGCTACAGCGCTGCGATTAGTGCCTGTGAGAAGGCTTGTCGCATTGGTTGACTTTCTGGTCACTGAGCCGGAACCGTGGACCTACACCATACATTCTAGCACGCTCATCTCAAGTTTGGTTTCCTTCGGCCATCAGTTCACGCAAGCCATTGCATGTACCGCTACATACTGTTTTAGCCTCAGCTTAATCATAATCTCGATGCGCGGAGAGCCAGACGCTCCAGAGCAGAGTCGGCACAGGGTCTGAAAGTTTGCGGCAGCTGTGACACCATTCGAGCCTAGGGGCCTAGGAAGGCCTGGTTTCAGGCACAACTTTTCTGATCGATCCAGACATCTGTCTGTTCCTTCCAGGCCGCGGAGTGGCGACGGGCCTTGCAGTTGCTTTCGCAGGCGGAGGAGCAAGGACTGCAAGTGAACCTGATCACCCTGAGCTCGGGACTGATGTTGGAAGAGCTTTGGGCTCATGGTTGCCTTCACTTCTCATAAAGCCTTATTCCTCTGACATCTCTGCACCCTTTTCCAACTTCAGAGAAGTGTCGAAACCCTGGCGAAATACAGCTGCAGAATTTCATGGTCACGGCTGAGGTTTGGGGGAGTGAACTTCATAATTCCGGCTTTGCTTTCAAGCTGGTTTCATGTGCAGTGATGTAGTGAAGTCTAAGGAGTGCAGCCATCAGCTCGTGCGGGCAGCTTCCTCGCAACAAGCGCTTCCCTCATGTCTTCTTGAGACGTTTGCTGTTTGCCCAATGTTTGGGATGCATATTTGTGAGTATCGGGGCTTACTTTGGTACAGTGTATAGGTTCGTTTTCAGCGTTTCTGAGCTGAACTGCTTCATGACGAAGGGCTCCTAGCTGCCAGTGCCCATGGTTTTCGATCCGCCGCTCAGCAAGAAACCCCCGTAACTCCTTGAACTGCAGGCTTTTGTTTGTTGAACTCCTGAACTCGGGGTGCTTCTTCGAGAGTTTGTGTTCGCTTGAATGACCTGCATCACTACAGACCCGAATCAGGTGCCTGTGCCCTGATTGTCAATTGAAGCCTGTGAGTCCTTTCGGTCGCCACGCGCTACAAGTTGTTCACTTTTTGAGGGATAGGGCACTTCTTCTTCTTCTTTATGGCTTCTTTCACGATCGATTTCGCCAGAGTGATTGCATAGTAAATGAGGTAGCCTGCCCCCCAGGTTTCTAGAACTGCTGCATAAGGGGGATCGTAACCTCAACAACCAAGATCCGAGCACCCAACTCAGGAATGCATCACAATGGTTGGGTGCCCTGCACCTCCTCAGCAGAGCAAGGTGCGGTCAGCGAATGATACCAGGGGATTAGGCTGAGTCCGGGTAGAAAGGAAGCCGAGGGCAGGTGTCGAAGCAGAAAGCCTCGTCGCACAAGTTCCGCTCTGCGTGGCCGAGGGCTAGGTCTCGTTTCCGCTCTTAAGCTCCGCTGTTCTGAACACTCGCAGCCTCGGAGTTTCCTCACCGACTCGAGCAAGCATAGGCATCTCACTAGGGCCCAGAAATTCCAAAGTCCTGAACTTGAAGAGTCCTTGTCCCAGCCTTCCAGGGGAGAAGGGCTCCAACCCGGTGTCGTCGCTTTCTCCGCTGCGTTGAGTGCCTGCCAGCAGGTCCTGCGCCTCAGGGTTTAAGCCGAAATCATGGGGTTCCAGTACGGTTTGGGCTTAAGGCTTCAGGCTGTTCCAGGGTTTCCAGACGCTTACAGGAGCAAATGAATGCTGGGTTTGAGTGCAGGTTCGACGACGTATGATTACAAAGAACATTCAACCCGGGCCGCTAGGCCTCAACTGGCTTCGGCTTGGGACGAGTGCAAGCACGTAAGAACCGGTAGCTGAAGATTTGGACTGATGGAATATGTGTGGGGGCTTAGCATCTGGGAACTTATGTCGAGTCTGCCGGATTGGGGCTTTGGGCTCCCTTTCGAGGTTCGTGTCTCATCAACATTTTTTTGCGGGTCCTTAAGTCCAAGTCTTTTTGGATTGAACCGCTTAAATACAATCAAAACCCCAAGATCTAAGTTCGAGGCGGGTGAGTGGCAGCGGGTGCTGCATCTCTACACAGAGATGACTGCTTCTGCCCTTGAGCCGCTCCTTGACTGAAAAACCGAAGCTTGAAAACTTGGCTCCTGAACCTGGCTCGCCAGTAGAGACGATCCGGGTTCAGAGACCAGGACAGCAGCTTCGGAGCGGAGTCTACATGCTTGATTGAGTATTCAGGATGTGCGCTGTGAGGTCTGCAACCGGACTACAAGCTTAGCTTGTCAGTGTTTTGTCGTATGTTTCCAGGAACGTGGTCACTGTGGCCTCTGCGCTGGCCTCCTGCGAGTCTGCAGCACGCTGCTTCGAGTCGCTGGCATTGCTTGCCAGGCCCGGACCACAAAGCTCGCATGTTGGGCTCGGGGTTTCGGGCGAGGGCGATCCCCTAACGTTTTGAGTTTGAGAGTCGACAGGAGGCAGCATTAAAGTCGCTTGCAGTGAGTCCGCATTGTTTGGACAACGTCTTGAAGCCCTTGCATGAGCCCTCAGGTCCTTTATACTCATGTCCTTCAACCAAACTTGGACACAAGTGCTCACGTGACCAACAGCAGAACCCAGCTCTTTGCTTTGTCTCTAGACGGCAGGCTGGAGCAGTGCAGCGAGTTGGTTTGAGCCCGGTTTTGGGGGTGGCGAAGCGCAGTCTCTGAATTCGTGGAAATGCAGGCCCGAGCGGCCCTCTGGTCTTTGCAAGAAGCTTAGCCGCTTAGCCCTTGACACTTGGCTTGTGGCTACAACCGAGATGGGCCAGTGTTTACTCTAGCCACTTGAATAACATGTCTTGGATAGGCTTAGATTTACATTCCATCTTCTGAACAGCGGCAATTTGGGTCTGAAGGATGGAAGGTGGCTACATGACTCCCGCCGTAGCCAGGATGCAAGCTGTGAGCAGCGTTTGCGGTTTAGTGTGGCCTCCTTGTCCTCAACAACGGCAATCATGCCAGGTTTGCAGGACAGCTGTCAGCTTCGTCGACCTAGGCACTAAAGATGCGAGCCGGGCTATGCAGGGGGTCGCCTTGTTTTCCTAGGCTTCCCGCAACTGGTGTGTTGGGCCACCGGACCCAGGGCTTCCAGTGTTGGGTTTGTAGCTTCGATGCTGCACGGGTTCAGGACTGCGGAGTGGCAGCCATTCGTCGAAGACTGACACTCAAAATCTTCAGGATTCAGCAAGTCGGATAACCTTATGCCTGTGATCCCTCCTGCCACGCAACGCGCGAAGACTCACTTTTTCAGGGCTTTTCAGGGCAGGCCTGCGTGATTGCCCGCATGCCATTTTTTGATGCCCTAGTGGTCAAGATGTGAGTAACACTATCAAACCAACCCAGCTCTGACAAAGCAGTGGTCTATAGGCGTGTTGGTTGAGGCTGCAATGGAAAGCAAGCAGTGTTCGGATGTTGATCCTGTTCTCACACTCATGTTGACATGAGTTTCACACAGCCGCTCAGCGCCACTAACCATGCCAGGGCTGTTGTCATCTGGCTTGGGGGAGGAGGCGTTCTGGTGGCAGCGGACGGGGCCCGGCCGCCACGCCCTGCGCGGGAGAACTGCACACGACTTCCTGCACCGTGCCAGTGCGTTCGAAGCCAAGGAGGAACCGCCACCAAGATGCTACAACCGTCAGGGGCAGGTTTGTAACATGTCTGCACTGCCGGAAGACGAAGACAAGCAGGCTGCCTTGGACAAGCGCATGGAGCGCCTTCAAGCAGACATGCAGCTCAGGCCGCAACTGTATCTTGGAAGCCAGGACGTCATGAGCCAAGTTGATAAGGCGAATGTGCTGTCCGCCGAAGAGCTCAAGAACATGGAGGCCAATGCAGAGGCCTACGAAATAGCACACATGGAGTTTGTGAAGGCTTATATGGGCTACAGGAAAGAGCTCCTGAACTGGAAGTCCGCTACCCGAGGTCTCGAGGACGACTATGCCCTGCACTGCCGTCCCTTCCACGACGTCACTATGGATTGCGAGAGGAAGTGGCGTTCCGCAATGCGAATGTGGGCAGCGCGTGAGCCTCTGCCAGCCTGCATGGTAGGCGTCGTCACGCCCTACGTGCGCCACCCACGGCCTCCGCAGAGTTGGCTAGAGTGGCTCTTCTGAGCCTCTTTGAATCCTGCAGCTGCATGTTAAAACCAAGCCCACTTGTCGGTCTCCGTTCAGCTAGGCTCAGGCCTGCCGTGGGTAAGGTCACAAGTTTCCACCCTTCAAATCGGTTCAGGGTTTCGATCGCATTGCAGCTGTGCCACCTGCAAGCATCTTGGCCCGAGGTTTGTGAGTAGTTCCAAGGCAGAATGAAGTGTCAGCATGGGCACCGAGAAATATCGCTCACGTTTTTTGGTTTCTCGCGGCTCCAACGGCCACGCACTCTGACACGTCTGAGAGACCTGCCTTAAACCCTGCATTTGCTCGTGCCAACATGCATTTGTGGGCCAATTCATGCAGGCAGGAACGAGAGGACGATGGTGCACCACTTTCGAACCAAGGAATAACATGGAACGACCTGGAGCTTGACTACTTTTGACTCCTCGGAATGTTTCTAAACCGCCCCGCATGGCACGCTTAGCCTTTCAAGCTACTCGGGGTATCGCCAAACCCTGCTCATCACTGCTTGCCATGGGCTGCGCCAAGCGCCGAGCTTCATGAAGCCACGTGCTCAGCTTCTATGCTGGAGTTGAGGTTCCTATAGCACAGCTCCTGCACAGCAAACCGAAACTCTGCCAGGAGAGGTTCGAGACCCCTTCTCGACTTGTCACTTCTCTTTTGATTCGACGCTCTCGCTTGCTTGTCTGGGCTTAGCGTTCTGATTTGGTTCAGTCGTTTCCAACCGTTTTGAGCACGGTTTCTGTTTCAGCCTGCACGACCCGCGCTCCGTGGATGACTGGCGGACTAGCGACGATGCTATGCTCGGGAGGCGGCTGGTGTTTCCCATCATGGAGGTTCAGATGCGGACATTGTAGTCAAAAGGCCTTTACTGTACCCGTGAAAGACATCCGCCAGTCTCATCTTTCAGTCAGCTTGCATCGATTTCTAGGGCCCAATGCTATTCCTGAGCTCCATCCGACTAAAGCTTTTACACTCTATCGGCTGATCCGTCCGGGGCTGAGGGCATTGTGAAAGGGTCTCTCCTTGGGACTCCTTCCAAACACTCCTCAAAATTGCGACTCCCCGCGTGTTGAAGTAGTTGTGCGCCGCAGTCTAAGTGGGGAGACTTCTCGCAAAGCTTGATGCTCCTCATCGTCGTATCAGATGTCACAACATCGTGGCAGTCCAATAGACCCGAAAGGCACAATGCCGCCGTTGGAGCATGGAGTCGTGCATGTCACCCTGTAGAGCAATTTCCACTTTCTGCAGTTCAACCCTTGGAATCCTTAGATCCTACAAGCAAATCGACGACATCGATGTCGGCGATGACTTCGTGCTCCCAGAGGCTTCCCTCCACTTTGGGATCAAGTTTCGCATTTGCGGAGAATGTGGGCTCACTTAAGTGGCTCTGCAGTTTCATGGAGTGTCAGACTTGGGGTGGCGGTTCTGGATTAACGTGCAGCTTTACGCCTCCGACTCTTCTGCAACTGCGCTCTGCTGGCCGGACAGATCACATGGACGCAAGTTGTTGCTTCTTGCGATTGGGATCAACTACTAGCGACAGGTTAACCGTGCTGCCGTGCTTTCAGATTCAGACTTCACTACAATGAACCCTACTAACCCTACCCTTGGCCTCGCACTCTAAATCAGTGCAGACTCCTGCGTGCACTAACTGCCGACGACGTGGAGGGTCTTCCGTCTTCCCATCCATCCCGTTGTTGGGGAATGATGGGG